TAAGTTACTCATAGTATCAGGCATCATCAAAAACAATACCCATAGCCTACTGCCATCATCTAGTACAAGTCCCCCCCATTAGCGGAGGTTCATTATTGGTCATATGACCCAATGCGAGAATCATTGGGTAAACTAGAAATTTACGGAGCAAATCACTGAGTCTCACTCTGAGCAGTTGTCTTCAAATAGTCATATGCTTCACAACATCTTTGTTTATTACTCGGAAATTGTTCTTTACAGCTCTCAGACCGTCTCTGGAGACGGGAATAAAATCTATAGACACAAAATGGTTCGTTACACAAATGAATCAAAATAATATATTGAGAAACAATTATTAGTAGTACTAGTAGTGATAGTAGTATGACACATTCAAAGCACGGAATCAACTACAATGCACACTACCCAATATGTCAAAATATACAGTTAAAACTCGTGAAAGGGAATGGAGGCCATCAAGATCAGTTATCATTTCGTTTCGGAGTTGTCTAAAGCAGCCTTCAATGACCTCCGTCTGTTCTGAATTTGACTCAAAAACTCCACGATTATGACCTGTAATTTTGGAGCAACCTTAATGGCTGAAGGTATATTTAGCCCCTCCCTCTTCAGAGCCCGTGTTGCGTATTTGTCAGCCTTCTCCATGTGGGGAGAGCAGAGAGATGGAACCACAGATCTCAAAACTGGCTTCCTGCAGTGTATCTGTGTTGGAGAACTGCAAACCAAATAACATACAAGACACAAGTGAAATTCGAATGGGTTTTCCTCACAGCGAATCTATCTCATTATGTGAGTTTTTTTTTTTTTGCATGGGTATTGATTGAAGTTATACCCTAATAATACCTAAAGATAATTCGATCTAGAATGAAGAATGAAGAAATAAAATCAGGCAAAGAAAGAAATTACATTTAAACACTGTAAAAATAAGAACCTTTTTGCACAAAAAAAACAAGAACGAGGAAAGGTATATGATAGCATCCTCAAGATTTTGGTGAGCTGAAGCCAGACTCTTTTGTAGACCTGGCAATCGGGTCAATCGGTTCGGTTCCGGTTCGGGTCTTTTCGGTTCGGGTCTCTTTCGGATATATGTTATAATCGGTTCGGGTCGGTTCGGTTAGGGTCAGTTCGGTTCCGGGTTTATTTCGGTTTGATTGGTTTTCGGTTTCGGTTCGGTTTCAGTTCGGGTTTGTATCGGTTCGGGTTTGTATCAGTTCGGGTTTGTATCGGTTCGGGTTTATATCGGTTCGGGTTTATATCGGTTCGGGTTTGTATCGGTTCGGGTTATATCGATTCAGGTTTGTATCAATTCGGGTTGTATTGATTTGGGTTTATATAGATTTGAGTTTATATCGGTTTAAATTTATATTAGTTCAAGTATAATGTAAACACATGCATACTAATAAATGAATAAATCACATAATAAATTTAGTTAATTTAGTTAACTATAATTTTTATATACTTTCTATAAAAATACAAAAGTATTTTAACTTAAGTTATAAANTTCAGGTTTGTATCAATTCGGGTTGTATTGATTTGGGTTTATATAGATTTGAGTTTATATCGGTTTAAATTTATATTAGTTCAAGTATAATGTAAACACATGCATACTAATAAATGAATAAATCACATAATAAATTTAGTTAATTTAGTTAACTATAATTTTTATATACTTTCTATAAAAATACAAAAGTATTTTAACTTAAGTTATAAACTGCAAAGTAAAAGATTTGTACATGAAAGTAGTTACATGGTTTGCACCCATAATTTAAATATGTTTTTTTAGAAACACATCAACATATGTAAAAATATATAGGTAATTCGTTTTCTCCAAATTCATTTGATAAATGAAATATTAATGAGTTTGATCAATTTCGGGTCTAATCGGGTTCGGGTCTAATCGGTTCCGGGTTTAACCGGATTCGGGTTTAACCGGGTTCGGGTGTAATCGGTTCGGGTTTAATCGATTCGGGTTTAATCGGATTCGGGTCTGAACCGGGTCTGAATACATTCGGTTCGGGTTCGGTTCGGTTCGGATCATTTCGGGTGTTCGGTTCTATTTCGGTTCTTCAGTTTTCGAGTCAAATCGGGTTCGGTTCCGGGTTATTCGGTTCGGGTTATTGGGTCCGGGTCAGTTTTGCCAGGTTTACTCTTTTGTACACACTTATGCTTTAATGGGGCCGTTGCTTAAGTGCATGGATAGGCTAGAGCTAGCACTTAAATTCTCAAATGTATACACTTCGTTTTTGAATTCTGGCTGTGTACACAAAATTAATAGTGTCAATTAGGCATAACCTACACGAACAAGCCATTTGGACGAGTGGTAAATATTTGCCTCTAGAAGCTAGCTCTGTTCAAAGGGCTATGAAGGATTTAACCATTTAGCACAAAATAGGATGGAAAATGGCTCCACATGACCTGAATTCTATTGGGACTAAAGCAAATAGAGCTGAGTTACATATAACGAACAATTTTATTTCTTTCTATCAGTGGGTTATTCAGAAAGCATTCATTTTGCAATAAAACATTCAGCACCAAAAATGGTGGTAGCAAAGGTTTGTCAATAAAACAACACTTGAAATCAGCCAAAAAGCAGTCATATCATCAAAACACTCAGAACAAGGTTCTTAACATAAAGTTCCTTTTTTGGGTTTTTTCCTTACCTATCACTATGAGTAATAATCAATACTATCTCCAAAATCATGTTTCATTGTAGCACTTGCAATCGCACCGTTCTAGACACTGTAAATATAGTAATCCTCTGGGAGGGGGGACTCACACAACATATGGGGTAATCACATTCATGCATCACCACGAAAAGACAATTCTCATATACAGTACAAACGTGAAATACTGAAATTGAAACTTCAAGAAATCAAACGAAAGCCTAACCTTTTAATCGTGAAATTGCACGCCTTGTAGAGCTTCTGCTTGGGGTCTGATAGGATGTGAGAATGACAGAACCTCGTCATGGCCATGGCCTTCGCCTTGCAAGTGCTTACTCCACACCTATTATTGAAATTGTTCCCAACCAGATTGTTTCGGTTAGGGTTTTCCCCAGTTCCCAAAGCGGAATCTACCCCGTTGGGGACGGAGATGTTATTCTCTTCGTTGTCTTCCTGGAAAGGGCTTTTCCCATACTCCCAATAGTACTCGCGGTACTTGAGCTTCAATTCCTCCATCAAAGCCCAGTAATGGTCCCGATATATCCGGGACAGCTGCTTCACCCGACGAGATCGCCGCCGCAAAACCTCAACCCGGTGCAAGAATTTGGATCGAGCCAGAAGCGCATCTTCCTCGAATCCGTCGATTGGAATCGGTGAGGTGGTAGGAGAGGAGACGGCGCATCGTGACGATGAACTGATCTGCGCGGAAATCGCGGCGGGCATGCCGGAATCGAGAGAGGATGTGTGCCCGTCACCGGCTCTACTGTGATTAACGGGATTTTTGGGTTCGACTTTAGGGTTGAGGGTTCGACATGGATTCAAACTGCGGGGAGAGGGGGCGGCTGCGGTGGTTTTGGAGGGGCCGGCGGCGGGAGTGGGAGCGGGGGGCATCTTGGGGGTTAGTATTTGAGGACAAAGTGGAGAAGGCGTTGGAGGACTGACTGATGAGTCTGCCGTTAAGGGGTTGCCTTGATAAATGCGTATTTTTGAACTTGGTCAAACGACTCATACCTCAGAAATCGGTGATTGGACTAATCATTGTCTACCTCAATTCCGTTTCGTATGGAACGGTAGCAAAGAATTTTGGTTTTGATGGGAAAACATACGGACTAGGGAGGAAATGTTTGGAAGAATAAATCAAGCAAAATATGATTGTAAATCTTGGTCCATTTGCTAAATTCATACTCCCCTCTTCCAATATTTGTCCGACATTTAGGTCTGTTAACGTATAACCGAAAATTCGATTACCGTACGCAACCGTATCCGTTTATATGGAAAATATCTGCATCCGTTAAAACGGTTATTATCCGTATCTGGTTGCTAAACGGATACGGATTTAGTAATCATACATCCGATCCGTTTATAATCGCTCCGCATTGACATCCGTTTAAATAACCGTTTATCCGTGTATCCGATTCGTTATTTATAGTTTTTCCTTATTTTTAATTTTATTTTTTTGTTTCTCTATTGATATCTCAAAGTATAAGATATTTTTATATACAAAATATATATGTAGACACATAAAAATATGTGTATAGATGTACTGTGTACATCTTTTTATGCTATGAAGTCATCGTAGAATATCATAAACTATAAAAATAAGAAAATAGTTATTCCATAAAAACTATAGTTGATTTAATAATATTTTGATTTACTTTAACTGAAAATTAAAGTATTGTTTAATTTGGTTTAAAAAATTGGAAACGGATGCAGATATATCCAATATCTGACCGATATCCGACAGACGCAGATATGATTTTGATTTTCAGTACTAGTCATGATGGGATTAACCCGATCAGATGGCGGACCAAGAACGGAATAAGAATAAGGAAAATATAATCTCGTAATAATATTCTTAATTGGGTGTGTAATCAATTGTTTTCTCCCTTTACAATGGCGGATTTTCCCTCCTTTTATAGTACTTCTAGTTTCTAAGTCTAGATTACAACATTATGGAAGGTTTATGGGGATCATGGGGTCGTGATTCCCTTCCTTTCCGGTCTTGATTTCTTTCCATTTCCCACGATTTGGAGCGTGGTCCACGTGTCCTGTTCCTTCCTTGGACTGGATCACCTCAACTCAGCCCATGAGTGGGCCGTCCCACCTCGTTGCCCATGTGCGCTTATTGGGACTGATCCGTTACGCGCACCCGGACTCATTTACCTTGCACGATTGTGGGCCTTTATCGGGCTTAGAGTCGGGTTCTTCAGACCCTATATCCATCACAAGCCCCCTAGTTTCCTGGCGACGGGCGACGGGTCGCGAGGAAACTAATGACGAGCCGCCTTCGGTTTTCGTGTCGGATTAGAAACGTCGCACTCGAGTGCCTCGAGTCTCTCCTCACAACGGATATAACCCCTTCTGGACTCGTCTTCTTCTTTCTTCGTTGCCGAATCTTGACCCGACCCGATCTCCGACTGCAATTACCTCCAAATTCTCGCTTCTTTCTCCGAAATGGCCCCCTCCATTGACCCCGCAACTTGGGTCCATGAATCCTCTATCATCAAAGAGGATGAACTTCAAGAAATGGCGGAATTCCTGGGCAAAGGCTTCCGGATTCACCATCCTGACGCTGTCGGGAGGACTAGTCTAACTCATAATCCGAATCCCCAGAAATACATGGTCATGCATTACCATTCGGTGGGAAACGGGTTAAGGCTGCCCCTCCATGGTTTGGTCCGCGACATCTGCCAGACCTTCGGGTTCCCCCCTGGTCAACTGACCGCGAATGCGCACAAATATGTTGCATCCTACATCTTGCGGTGCTGTGCCAAGGATAGGACCCCAACCCTAGACGAATTTCTCGCCCTTTTCAGCATCGGTGGAGTTTTCCCTTTCTATAGTGTGTTTCCTCATCCCAAATTCCTAGTTTTTGATAAGGTTGAGGCCAAAATAGACAGATGGGCCTGTCGCTACTTTATCATTGAGTTCCCGGTTCATAGCCCCATAGATCTGCCGGGACTGTTACGCCGTGGATCCCTCTCTCGGACTCCGTTCCCAACCGCACCCCGGGCGGAGGAGGCGTACAACGCCCTGAGAGTGGAGGGGGACTGATTTCACATCATTCCCTTCAGGACTCCGGATTGTACAAGAAGGCTGATTTCTACTATCCTCTGGGCCCCGACCCTATCCCGTTTGAATGGGTATCCACCCCTGGGAGGTCAAAGGCTTCTCCCACTGTGGGATCTCCTTCAGTTGGAGATCCCTCCGGGGACCAGGCTCAAGATGGCGCTACTGCCTTGGTAATTTGCACACCATCTGCCGCCCTGGATGCTGTTCCCATTTCTGCCATTCCTGGGCTAAGAAGGCCCATGCCGTCCCAGAAGCGGCCACGGGAAGGGGTAACTGATGACGACTTCCTTCCTAAGAAGAGTAAGGGTGATGGCACCCCTGCTTCACCCAGCCCCCTGACTACTCCTTCTGGTGCTCAAACCGCTGCTACCGCTATCGCATCTGGAGAGCTGGAGTTACCCAACCCAGACAGCTTGGACCATGAAGCGGATAAATCTCCTGACCAAGCGCCACTCCAAAGACCAGCGGGGCGACCTCAGCCTGTGGTGGAAAACGCCTCCCCGTCAATTATTGCCGCTTCTCAAGGGATGGAGAAAGAGGTTGGGGGACAGAAGGAACCGGAGGAGCAGCGTCCCGCTGCAGCGCCCTCGACCTTCAATCTCCCCATCCGGTGCAGATTCACGCTGGAAACTTATCATGTCTTCCGAGAGGGTTGGACAGATTTTTCTCGTGGTCTGAACTCCCTGAAGGCCTCCCACTCCACCATCTAGGTCAATCTAGAGAAGATGAGGGGATTAGTGCAGGATCCCATAATTCCACAGGCACGCCCTGACCTGCTTGCCCTTGATGTCTTACACTCCATGGAGCAGGTACCCTTTTCTTTCGAAACTCTCCTTAATTCTCTTAAGTTGTCCCTTTCTTAACTTTCCTCCCACCCTTCCAGGCCCAACAATCACTCCTCACTCTGACTGAGTACCTGGGTGGAGCATGGGGAAATTATCGGGCCATGGTGGTCCTAAAGGATAAGGAGTTGGCCGCTAGAGCTCTGCAACAGAAGGTTGGTTCCCTCGAGCAGCAAGTCCAGGCCCTGCAAGAGGAGAATGCCAGGCTCAAAGCAGATGCCTCAACGGAATTGCTGGCTGAGAGGTCCAGGGTCAAGTCCCTGCAAGAGCAGATTGCCACCTACCAAGGAAGTACCCAGGGCCTGGAGACACAGTTTGACAAACTCCGGGGGCAAATCTCCTGTCTGGAGTCGAAAGTCTCTGCCCTTGAAGGCAAAGAGGGGAGTCTGAAAGCTGAATTGGTTGAAAGGGAATCCCAGATCTCCGAGTTGGACAAATCACTCCATGAGGCCAAGCTAGAGGGTGCCCACTTTAGTGAGGTCATGTTGAAACACATGGGGTTGAAATGGGAAGCCCTCCAGAAGCTGGAGAAGGAGAGAAAGATTGCCAATGAGCTCCGGTTGAAGGTGGAAGAACTGGAGAAGACTGTGGCTTCCCATCAAGGCGAGGTGGCCGCCTTGACCGCCCGTGCAGAGGCCCTCTACGAAGAGGGGAAATTTGACATGCAGCTCTGCATTTACGAGGCGGTCCGGAGTGGTCTTGTGGCTCACCGAACCTTGAATGATTTCATCACATACCTTGAATGATTTCATCACATACTACGGCTTGATTTTCTTCCTCCCCAACAGTTGTTGTATTTTGCCTTGTAATATTTTAATTGTATCAACTCGGTAATGCTTGTAGCATTTTGTCCTTTGTCAACATCTCTTTTGTACTTACATCCCAGTAGATTCCTTTCTTTGGGCTAACTGTGTTCCTCTTGGAATTTTTATCCTTCTTCGAGACTTAGAAAAATTTTTACCTGCTTTAAGACTTGGGCTTAACCCACATCTGTATTTTCTCCAAACATGCTCGCTCCTGTTGCACTAAGTGACTGGCCCACCTTAAATACACCGGGCCCAATTCACCCAAGCCCATGATGAGTGGCGCAACCCTAGCTTTCCTCGGGAATCCGCAACTGTTTCCCAATCGGATAAGCGCTTTGACTCCGCGTCCTTTGCACTCCCTCTTAGCGTCACCCGCCTATTTAAGGAACTAGGTGGAGCACTTTCATTATCACAGCCAACTTCTCAATATGGCTAATAATGCCAATAGAGTCGTCTTTATTTATCTGACTATCTCTGATTCTTCTTCTGATTCCTCCTCATTGGCATTTCCCTCGCTTGGAGCCTCAACACCCGAACAGTCGGTGACTTCTCCCCCGCCCAAGGGGGAGAATCATCCTCGTCTCCCCCAGCGACTATCAGGGGGTATTTTCCCAGATTCCGGCATGCTTCCCGGCGGTACAAGGACGGAAGCCTCCTCTGGCCGTCCTGGTACATCCCGTTCCCAGAAGAGACGCAATCCTCACTCAGAAGCTACCCGGTTGGTCTCCGGTGCAAGGCCTTCCTCCCAAGGTTCTCCCTCTCCTCAGGAGTCATATGGACAGAGCCCTGAGGAGTGGGGGGATTATGATATGGGGGGAAATAGGCATCCATCTACGCGGAGGGAAAAGGACGGAACCTTCCAGGATCCGTCTCCCCCTCCGGCATAGGCGGAAGGAAGCCGTAAGTCCTCCCCTCATGCTTCATTGTTCTCCTTGCCTACCTTCGTGGGAATGACTCTACGGGGCTTGGCTTTCAATCCCACCCGTTGGTACCCTTTCGTTTTCTTTTTCTTTTGAAGGATGCATCTGGAGGACAATGAGCTCTTTCCGCACCTCCCCGCTTCGGCATCCTTTTCTGGTCCAGGTGGGGCAGCAAGGGCCAGCGGATTCATTCCCCTTGCCGCAATGTTCCCTACGGATCATTGAAGTGCCGTTTCGCCCAGTCTTCAGATTTTTTCAGTAGTAGGATAGAAGTAGATCAGGGAAAAAGTTTATTGTTGTAACCCAAAAGAATGTAATTCTCTATTTGAGTTATCTAATGAAAAACTCTGTCTCCCGTCTTTTAGCATTTTCATCGTTAGATCAGGGATAAGGTTCATTGTTGTAACCCAAAAGAATGTAATTCTCTTTATGAGTTATCTAATGAAAACCTTTATCTCCTGTCATTTATTATAATCATACCTTGTGTGCCATCGTCTGCATGAAGTAGAAGTCTATATCTGTTTAACTCTTACCATTCAAGGACGACGTTCTTTCCTAGAGTACAGATGGGCCCACCTGAACTGGCCCATGCACTTAAGTGGTGAAACCCTAGTCAAACCTCGGGAACCAACACAACCACTTCATCCGCCAATCGTCCAAGTCTTCTGTAACACCCCAACCCGCATAATCCGAATACAAGGATCAGCGGATCGGGTTGCTACCAAATTGGTATTCAAACACAATAATTTTCCAAACCAATTTAAAACATTTAATTCAAAAAAATATTTAATTATCCATCAGAGTAAATCAAAACGGTTGCGGAAGCTAAATTCATAATCCAAAACACAACTTGGGGATCATGCCCGAAATAGTAATAAGTTATTTAAGTAATTAATAAGAGTTCAGAGTCGTCGAACACCGCCACGCACATCTCAGCCTCCTCATCGCCCTCCGAGATTGGCTCTAAGCTCATCATTTCCTGGATTACCTACGTGTAGCAAATAGGAAAAAGGGACTACACGCTAGCATTGAAGCTAAGTGATAAATATCTAACATACAGCTATACCCGTAGATGATCCCACTAGCCCATATCCTCATACGATATCATGCACACATGTCATGCTCACATATTCATCATATCATACAGTATATAACATACATACGCAGACGTGTCATTATATAATATCAATGAGTACAGGATATAATAAAGAATACTTTCTTCATTGTTTACTTTACTTTACTTTCTTTCTGTGCTCGGCTCTTAACCTATACTAGGTAAAAGCTTACTGTATACGACTTGCATATGGGAGTCATGACCTTCCCCTTCGGAATGAAGGTCAAGCTCAAACCAACTTGGGAATTCCTCGTTGGGTGGGTGAGATCCCTGTCCCCTTCGGAACTACAGTTCTTAGATCCCCGTGTACACGTTTTTACCCGGACAGCCATTGGACCCAGCAGGTACCACATGACTCTACCTTACTAACTTATGACATATCTTGTCACTATTTCCCTTCAGGTCAAATCCTAGGTTTGTTCTAGGTATTTCTTATTTTAATCGCCATTAGTTTATAGCATACATGTTCATGCATCATACACATATTTCGTCACGTTCAACACACACAATCAGCGGCCTAACATGGGGTATTGACACCCATGTTTACCGTCATGCAACACGCAAGGTCTCGGAATCAATCCTAGACGCAAACAACAAAATGTAGACTGGTTCAGGTACCTCACGGTACCCCTTGGCGGTAGGGGTTACCGGCCCCACGGCACCAGGGTACCGTCCCCACGGTACGGGGGTACCGTCCGTGTCAGCTGGGGTCCCTTGCGATAGTCCGTCATGGTAGCCCCTACCGGTCAGACGGTAGGGCCCACCGTCCATACGGTACCTGGGTCCCGTCCTAAGTAGGTACTGACAGAGAGAAACGAACCCGGGGAGCTGGCGGTAGCTGGGTACCGTGTCAACGGTACCTCCCTACCGTCTGTCGCGGCGAACACCAGACTTGCACCAGCTCCATTTTCGTCCATCTAAAAGCTTAACAGCTTTGGTTCTAGTAAACACAAGCATAACAGATCATAACATATCAATCCAACATTATCTAACCATCCCTCAATCATATTACCCCAAAACCTGTTCTCCACATCATAACCTACGCAAACAAAGCATATTTCACGTATAGTTCAATTAGATCAACCGTAACGATTCTACGAACGTAAGATTCAAACCTATGAATATAACCATACGTTAGATGTGTTGGAATGCATGAGTTCAACCCTTTCTGTGTTGTTAAGTGTTGACTCACAGGTTTTGATAATTGACAAACACAATTTATTCAAGTCAAGATCAAAGTGCTACAACGACAAACACAAAGACTTGAAGTGCCATTCCTTGAAGTATTCAAGAAGGTGCACAGGATTTTATTGGAGTCCGAGACGCGTTCGGAGCGCCTAACGGAGGACTCGGAGGAGTAGAAAATTTCCGAAGACTTTTTATTTATTTGAGTCTTAGGAATAATTGTAAGGATGACAAAAATATCTTCTCTCCAAAATTATTTTTATGAGTGTTAAAATAAAAATTATATTTATTTTTGGAGTCAGTTCAAAAATCTTTTTAACTGTTCAAAATAGTTTTATTGAGTCAGTTACAAAAGGTGTGCCAAACATTTATCAAATATTTATTTTGATATTATAAAATATTTTTGGTAAGCAAAAATATTTTATTCAAATATTTTT